ATTAAGTCCAAACATGTCACTTATAACATTAAATGTAAATGTTGCAAACACCCCTATTAAAAGACAAATGTCTGATGGAATAAGATCACAAGAACTAATTATATGTTGCCTTTTTATGTGAACACAAAATTTATAAGTATAAAATATTGTACAATGTTTACACCAATTGAAAGAATCTTGGGGTGGCTATTTTAGTATAAAATTATTTATTAGAGCAAAGAATTTTATTGGTGATAAGAGAGTTGTTTTATAGCAATAAAGGGACAGTTCATGAAGAGAACAAAGCATTCCTAAATGTTTAGCTACTTAGTAAAGAGCTTCAAATTACATGAGGCAATTAATTGGCAGAATTATAAAGCAAAGTAGATAAATGCACAATTATAGCAGATATTTAAATAACTATATCCCAGTATTCAGAAGGAAAACAAAGCAAAAATTCTTCATCCCGACATACATTTTATTGATGCTATGAATTAGCTTGATCTCATTGAGATTTTAAAAATTCCATTTCACAAAGCATAACACACATGCTTTTCAAAGGTGCCAGAATATTTGCCAAATTCCATCATATGAATGGCCATAAAAATACATCTCATTAAGTTAGGAATTATTCAGAGCATATAAAATATTCATTCTTAAACTAATGGAATTTAAGTGGGAAATAAGTGAAGGAGAAATGTCTAAAATCTTTGGGAAATTCCTGAACTATGTGAAAATGAAATAAAACTCTTCAAAATAACCTATAAATAAATGTTGAAATCACAGGGAAATTACAAAATATTTTGAATTAAATTAAAACACAGCATATCAAAACATAACTATCAAAATAGAGCTAAAGTAATATTTAGAGAGGAATATACAATAAGAATAAATAATAAAAATCAGAGTGGAAATTAATAGAATAGTAAAATTCAATAAAACCAAAGTGTAGTTCTGTCAAAGTACAGATTAACAAACTTCTAGGTGAACTGTAAGTAAATAAAGAAAAGACAGAAGGCGAATTGTACCAATGTTAGAAACTAGAAAATTTGTATCCTTATGAATTCCACTATGAAGAAATATTACTAACTTCATGCCAATAAGTTAGACAACTTAGATGAAACAAATTAAGTCCTCTAAATACACAAAGTACTAAATCTCACTCAAAAAGAAATAGAATACCTGAATAATCTTATAACTACTTAAAAAAATAAATTACAAAATTTCTAAATTTTCCACAAAGAGCTTTAGCATTATATGGCTTCATTAGTGAATTTTACCATAATTAAAGAAGAAATGGGGCTTGCCAGTACACTCTGTGAGGTTGAAATTTCCCTGGGGCAATAACCAGAAAAAGGCATTATGAATAGAAATTTAGCCTTTATACAACATAATGCAAAAGTGTTTCAACTTTCAGCAGAAGATTCTGTTACTTTTTTTAAGTTTGGGTGATCAATATTGTAATATTTGCACTTTTTAATTTCTTAAGAAAATACTTGTAGAATATCATCCTGAATCTAGAACTCTTCAACTGAATTCTTACTAATAGTAACTTTCAATAACTTTTATTGTAAAATAGATATAACACAAAGTTTGCCATTGCAACAATTTTACGTTTCCAACTCCGTGACAATAATTCCATTCACAATATATTATTGCATAGGAAAAAATAATAATTCCATTCTCAAAACTATGCAACCATCATGAATAATTCTGTCTAAATTTTTTATCATCCCAAATATTTCAGCACACTAAGCAATAACTCACCATTAACACAGCCCCTAGTAGCCTCTAATCTACTTTCTGTCTTACTAAATACACTCATTTTAGATATTCATAAAAGTGGAGTCATATATTTTGTCCTGTTATGTCTGATTTATTTCAGTAACCTAATGTTGTCATTAGATTTTAAAGTGTTTTCAAGGTTCATTAATACATTATGTATTAGAGTTTAATTACTTTTTCATTATGTACATTTGAACTCATTGGCACAAAAACTGTGAAGAGTAGAGACATGAAATTTTAAAATCACCATTTTGACGCATTTTGAGATAAAAAAAATCTGGAACTTTGAATCTTTCTAAACGCAATATTTTCAATAAGTGCCATTATCCTGGAGAATCGTGCCATTTCTGAGAGCTGCATTTTTAGCATTGGGAAATGAGGAATGTGGTGATGTTTCAAAGAGAATTATTTTGGAACTTAAGGTTTTGATAGAAAAGAATGGAAGGAAAATAGAATGTGGTGGCAGCAGAATGGTGGTGGCACTGAGAGTGTGTTATTGTTCAAGGGTGACTGTTTCTCTGTGCAGGGTAATAAAAACATTATGTTTTATCAGTGTCCTACTGATGAATAACTTTACTTTTTTGATGTTGAAGTGGCTATATTATGTCCTAATCAAAAATACCATATTTATTCAAAAACATTATGATTACGAAGGTTTTTATTTTTTGGAACGATCCCAAGTCTCCACAGAGATCTGTGGTCCATCAGATAGAAAAACTGGGATAGAATTACTGTAGCTTTGGGACTTCTACTGTGGGTCATGGTATCCTGATATCCTTTCATTTTAAAAACAGTCTAAAAAGTAGTTGTTCCTACTAAGAGAGAGCACAGGCTCTCAAAGGGAGCTGAAGGAATGTTGAAAACTAAAACTGACTTGGGCCCAGCACTTTTTGTTGTTGTTAGTTTGTGGGAGAAGAAAAGCATAGGTAAATAGGTTGCTCTTATCCTTTGGAGAGTGGAATCCTAAGTCCTGGTTCAGCATGGCACTTAGCATATAGGGAAGTGAAGACAGAAAGAGAAGGGTAATAGGTCCCTGGAATTGATACATAATACCAAGAAAACAGTCACTGAGAATCTCAGAGGCCAGAAGGATGGTCTGTCATGAAAAGATGTACATGCAAGGTTTCCTTAGTTTAGTGAGATTGGGTATCCAAAAACTGTAACTTAAATTGGCATTCCAAGTCTACAGAATTCAGAGTTTTCCTAAAGTATGTGCTAATAATCAGAAAGAACTAAAGCATTCTTGTATCACTGTAAAAGGTAGCAGAACTGCCTTTAATGCCGATACTTTTAACAGTATTTTCTTATACTTTAAAAAGGTAATCTGCCAAGTAAAATTCCTCAAATGAATATCATGATATAAATGGTAAACAAAAACAGTGTGACTGATTGGAGAAGGCTTTTATTAAGACTGGATGGAATGGTTTGTGGTAAAATTCTAAAATCAAGTCTACATAGCAAAAATAAATTGGTGATATAATTAGTTCATTTAATTTATGCATCAAATTTACTTAATTTATAATAATAATAAGATTCTCTTTTTGAAGCTCCTATTCTGAGTACTTCCCTTCATTTTTCACACTTTCTCTTCTTTTTCTTTGGCAAGGATTTTACTTTGCTTCTTTTTTTCCTTTTGTCAGGTAGGGATATAAAATGGAATCTGTCCTCAAAGTTTGTGACTCTGAATCTATTCCACCAAACCTTCCTAAAGTCTGCATTTACTATTTAGTTAAATTGGTAGGCATCCTAGAAATAGATTCAGCCTTTTAGATTGGCCTATTCCTTCTGAGAGTTTGTTGTTCTCTTTACTTGCTGTTTGAATTTGAATACTGTACTTAATTAAGATCAGGAAATTAAGTCTTAATGAAGGAGTAAATTAGTATTGAGAAAATTAGTATAAATAATGTTTATAATGGAAGATTCTGATCAAAATATTTGTATAATCAGCAAACAAAGCATAGAGTTATAGACATCATCTGGTATGGAGCACCAGTGATGGTATACTCTATTGAACCAGAGCCACATTTTCAAAAGGAAGGGGTTAGATCTAATTATTGGTGGTAAAGCAAATGCTTACAGACATCAGACATCAGACTATACTTTAAAGGAAAACAAAAATAATACATATATGTGTCCAAATCAGTATATCAAATAGAGAGAGGAACTAAAAGTATATATGCCATTAAAGTTGTTCAGTGGTTTCCTGAATAAGACATATATGGTTTTTCAATACTTTCATTGTTAAAAGTTACTATTTAAAAATTTTACTTTGTTTTAAAGTTTTATGCTATTATATTAGCTATTTGTATTTGATCCTATTAACATTTTTATTAATTTATTAACTCAGAGGCCCCATATTAACATTTCCTACTCAAACAAGTTTCAAAGAGACAATTCATTCACTCAGTATAAGGATTAGATGAGACATGAATAATATGCCTTGAAATAATCATGCACTAGCTTCAAAAAATTTGCAATATCTCAACCTTGTCACAACTTTTCCCCTCTGAAATAAACCTTGTGCCTTTACACATAAAGTACAATTCTCCGGGATGTATGCTGCATTCTTCCTGCCTGGGCTCTGCCCTTTGTGTTTACCTTATCTCATATTATACAAAGTCACTTTGTGACTAATTTCCAGAGAAATGAGTCACAATGTGGCTGTGGCTTATCTTTTCTTTTTTCCCACATGGCATAGTTCTTGACTCTCATTTTTCAGTATTTCTTTTATACAAATGAGTTTTCTCCATAATTAAATAATTCTTACATTATAATTTTATAGGTGTATTGTTATATTATGTGCTGTTCTATATTACCAGAAGCAAAGTTTAATATGATTCTATAACCATTAATCAGAAGTATTCTTATTTAAAAGTATCTTAAACTTAAAGGGAAACCAAACTTTCAAATAATTCCAATTGACCAGGCACAGTTAACAAAGAATTCTACTACGGTTTTAAAATGATGTAAAGGCTACATTTCATCAATTACTTATATCAATATTTATCATCTTAAAAACATCAACCTTTTTATATATTTGTTTAAGAATTAAACACAAAATGCTGAGAACTTAATTTTGCTTTAAATATGAGCCTACTTTGTTCACATGGAACAGCTGATTTTCATTTCAGGGGAAGAGATGGTGGTCCTCTTTCCGTCTTTGCCTGCTTTCCTCCGAAGGAAAAGAAATAAAGGTTATTTCCTGTGGACTAAACAGTATATTCCCAAGTACTCACTTGTAAAATCTCTGAAGAAAGTTCTTGGAAAGATTTTTTCAAAACAGAAGTAAAGTTATTTAGTTTTCTCTTCCAGGTATTGGAAACTGGATTTTTCTTCTTCTTCACTTCTTCTTTTAAACAGTTCAAGAAAATGGGGCGTGGAGAACACTGAAAGAAATGCAATCTGATCCTGCTAGCAGTCAGTGAAAGGGTGAGGTAAGAATTTGACAATTATTCAGCCCAAAGTCGCTGTGTGAAAGGGAGGAAAGAGGGAGCTCCAGAGTCTGTTTCAGGGATCACAGGCAGCTGGGAATGGCCTGGCTTCCTGTTAGGTCATGCAACTCAGACTCCAGTCAGTCTAATCTTGCAAAACTCTACAAAAGCCTTTTTAATTTTTTTTCCCAATGGAGGAAACAGATGAAGGAAACTGGTTACACTAAGATTTTTCAGACGTTACCAGCTTTTATACATTTTTTTACTTTCCAGGATTTTTTTGTGTGAGTGTAATAAGTTTAAAGAGCATCTTTTCTCCTAGAATTACGTTTTTCAAAACATTATTTAATCATTACATTATTAATAACTGAAATTTGCACAATTTGTTTCTTCAGATTATTTCACCCACATTGTGAGTATATATATGAAGAAAATCTGTTGGTTACTGGAGGTTCATCTTATTAGAGAGACAATGTGATAATATATTGTTGAGTACAAAATGTTGGGCTGGACCCTGCCTCTGCTTTTTACTAACTTTACAACATTGGCTAAGTTATTTAAATTATCTCTGCCTCAGTTTCTTTTCCTTTGAAGCACTAATGATAAGAGTTCCTATAAATAGTAAATGGATTAATATATAAAAACACTCAAGGCAGAGACCCCAGCATAGAACAAATCTCTTATAAATACTGTTATTCCTATTATACCTATTGTTATTATTATTTTGCAGAATATGGAAATATTTAGAGATATTGCTCACCATTGCTTGGCTGTAGATTCCTACCAGTGAATTTAACACTTTTTATTTCTATAATGGAATTATGGTCAGGTCTGGCTAAGAGCACCAGTGACTTGATAAGATGGCAGAACTTATTTCACTTGAAGGCTAAAGTAATTTGATCAGAAAACCCAACAGTTTCCTTTTCCTCAGATTCTCTATCTTCAACTTTTTTGCTTCTTTCCTTTGAACTCTGTGAAAGAGATAATCTTTCCTTTTGTGTGTTTATAACATTTAATGGTCTTTATTTAATCTCATAACTGAGAGATCCTTCCTGTGTGCCAGCTTCTTGGGTCTGGGAAAGCTGAGCAAAGCAAAGAGCTGTGATTCAGTGATTCAGTGACTTCAAAATACAGGTGCTCTAGTCCCACTCCGTGCTGCTTCCTCCCATGTTTTGGATCTCAAACCATGTTAGCAGCTTATCCCGCTTGTTACCTCAACCACAATCAATGTTCCTTTCTGAATGAGATTACTGAGGAAGGTGGCCTCTTCTTGGTACTCCACTGGACATTGATTAAAATTTTGACCAACTATAGGCTCTGCTCAGGTTGAGATAAGCTCAGCCAATCTGATGATTTCCTTTCTTGGGAACTTGAACAAAGATGGAAGAAAAGTAGACACTACCTGCAGGACTTCTAGCTAACAGCTGTATCGATAAAGGGATGGCAGCCATAATGGTTGTATGAAAGACACATGGAGAAAGTTAGTTGAGTGTGAATGATGAAAAGAACAGAGGAAAAAAAACCATGTAATCACTAAGAGGAAAACAGGGAGGGAATGATAGCAAGAGTGGGAGTGAGAAGCACATGATGAGCTTGATGACTGAGCTCTTTAGTGATAGTCCTTTCCCAGGCTTAGTTCAAGGTTTTCTGGACACTCAGGAACATGCATTCTTTAATTAAACCCCTTTTTGTCCTACAGCCATTTAAGACATGTGTTTTTATTATTAGGTTAAGAACCATATTTCAAAGAACTGTAGCTAAGGTGAAATTATTCTTTGAAAGATCACAGATTTCATACTGCACTTAAGATTAATGAAAATTTTTTCCTCATATACTTTCCTATAAATTACACAAACTTGGGTGATCTTGTTTTCAAGAGAATGAGGAAACTTAATGTTAAGATATTGTTTAGGTAACCTGATGCTTCAATTTACAGTCCCCATAGACTCAGTTCTTCTCTTCCTGAGGGTTGTGTGAGGTCCCTTTGTATGGTTTTTATCACTACTTTGCCATTCCATTGTATGTAATTTTAAGATAAATTGATTGGATAAAATGCATTTTTTATGACTGATTTAGCTGTATGCCATTGTATCTGTAACCTGACTGTATCTAACACTGTCTGATATTACAAAGTCCCACCTAACACTAACTACTCTCCTTTTTATTACTCATAATATACTGTTGTTTCACTCCAACTCACACAATTTGAATAACATTCTCAGTTCTAAATATGAACTTGTATATCTTCTAACCAAGATATAAAAATAATCTTTTTTCTCTACTTGCTCTATACATGAAGAAATATATCCTACTTATATCCTTTAATAAACCTGTCTTTAAAATACATCTAAAGTTTCAACAAGTTCATAAATGCTATCTGATTGAGACATAATATGCAAAGATGTTGGCTCCTCAGTATTATAAAAGGATACATGATGGAGGAAACAACACTAAAAACGTCGAAAAAATCTCAAGTTGGACAAGTTTTGGTAAGTAAACTTGATAAACAAAATTAAATTTTACCACATCAAACATTCCTTTCATGCATTTCCATTCTGAATTATGTGAAGGGGTATATTTCATATACCATTATTTCGTGTAATAATTACTTTTCACACAAATTGTGGCTGCAAAGGCATTTAACTGGGTTAGGTGAGGAGTGTTGTGAGCTTCATTTTCTCTGCCTTTGTCCTCATATCCACAATCTAACCTATGTACTATATGTGTATCACACTTCCTGTCATAATGAAGTTACTTTATCCCCCAAGTCCCTAATTTTGCTAATGTGCAAAAAGCATTCTTACCTATTGTAAGTAATCTACCACTGATTAGATTATCAGTCAAAATGTGACCACTTTTCAGTAAATCCAAGCAATTTAGATATCTCACTTCCTTTCTTTCCCTAGGCACCTGGAACATTGCAAGCTTCCGGGAGGACCCATGGGCCATTTGCTATGAGAAAAATTATCCTATCCTTTGCTGAGAGAAAAATCATCTAGTTTGATTATATCTATTATGGTTTGATCAAAATTTGAAATTTAAAATGCTTTCACTTATGATCATTGTTCTTTCTATTTAAAGCCTACCCTTTTAGGAATACCTTTTCTCTGGTATGTTGAACCATCCATTCAGCAAGTCATCCAAGCCTCTGCTCTTTGCTATTACCTTTATCCACCTGGGATAAAAGACAAAACAAAAACAAATGGAGAAACATATGATGTAGTTGTAAATCAAAGTATTACCAACTATAGTCCACCTGCCTTGTGTTTAGCCAAAACTTACTATCATGCTCATTTTAATAATAGTTAAGGTGGGCAATATTAAATATGAGTTTGAAGTCAAAGTATTTACATAAATTATTTATCTTCAGTTTTCAACTGCTAAACTTATGTGTGTATATACACACTCATATATATGTATACTGGCTATATAGGGTTTTGAACTCAGGGCAAGTGCTTTACCATTTCAGTCACACCTGCAGTTCTTTTGCTTTGGCTATTTTTCATTTCTTGGTGGTACTGGGCTTTGAACTCAGGGTCTTGTACTTGATAGGGAGGTGCTTTACCTCTTGGGCCACACCCCAACCTTATGATTCAAATAAGGTTAAGACCTTAATTTTCAAATAAGGTCTTGTGTTTATGCCTGGGACAGATTGGACCATGATCCTTCTATTTTTACTTGCCATGTAGCTGGGATGACAAGACATATGCTATCATACTTAACTTTTATTGGTTGAGATGGGGTCTCACTAACTTTTTGAGTGGGCTGGTCTCAAACTGCAGTCTTCTTTATCTCCACCATCCAAGTATCTAAGGTAATAGATGTGAACCACTGTGCCCAGCCTAGATTATATTATTTACTCAAATATAGTTGCTGCCTCTCTCTCTCTCTCATGCACGTCCGCATGTGCACGCTCTCTGAGTCCCTTCCGGGTGACCAGAGAAAAGAGTGTATTTCCTTCCTCACTAAAACTAGTTTTGCTACATAACTAACTTGAGCAAACAGCATTAGCAAAAAGAAATACCTAAGTGATGGCTGAGTGGAATTTTTGTGAGCTTTATGGATAGTTTCTAAGTTTTATGTTTTATACCTTTGGTCCATTTTATGCCAGATGATTATTATGCTTGAGGTAAGGGCTATTTTGTCAAACTGGATGACAATAAAGAGGAAATGGAGCACCAATACAGAACCCATAAAGGTGATTGAAAACGTGGCCTTTGTTGGCAAAGGCTTTGTAGGGGGTTGTTTGCTATAGAGCATAACTTAGGCAGAAATTTTAATATACTTCTTATTCCCAAGGTCTTTCCTTTGGAAATATGCTATGTTGACTGCACCTATAGTACATTCTATAGCCTTGAACAACTGGATTGACTGGGATCACTACTCTGTATCTTTCATCTCCACAGATCGCCATCTGCTTTCTTCTTCCTTCATACTGAATAACAGGATGTGAAGTAATTTGGGGAGAATACTTTCTGGAAATTTACTATGACAATCCCCAAATTTAAACAGTAATTAATCCAACATTAAACAATCACCAATTGGAAATATGTTGTAGATCAAAGTAAATTCTTGTTAAACAATGTAGTAACAACAAAAAGATTTTCAGGCAAGCTGACTCCATCTGTAGGAAAATTCCGTCCTTTCCAGTTATGCTGAATTTTCACATGACTATCAATGCTCTTAAAACCTGAATACCAGAGTCATTGTGTGCTTTTTGTCTGTCTAGGTCAAATTCTTATTAATAAGACATTTCTTGCTAATTTTAAAATGAGAATGGTTACTGAGAAGTGATTATGACATGTGGGACCATGAAGCCCCTATCATGGTTTGTGGATTATTCAGACCTCACAGACTATCACAAGATTTAGTCATAGTTTACAATATCAAAAGGTCAGCATCTTGAGCAATCATCTTC